TTTTGAGTTTCAAAAAGCAATAAATAATAAAGAAAAAAATAAAATTGAATTTATAAAAACTAAGAATTTCTGTATGTACAAATCTTTAAAACAAAGTTAAAATACAAGGGATCACTGAAAGACAGTACTTAAAACACACAAAACATGGTAAGAATTCGTTTCCAGGAGAACTTATAAAGAACTCCTACATTAATGAGTAACAAAAAGACAAACTTACAGGAAAAAGAACAATGATGTAACAAGCCATTGGCAGAAAGGAAACCTATGTAACAAATAAATACTGGAAAGAATTCAAGTTCATGGATAATTAATAAAGTGCAAATTAATTTAACAGGGAGATTTCATGCCCATCAGACATGCAAAAAAATTAAAACAATTACAATTATTGAAGAGCAGTATAAAATGCTTATTGCATATTAAGTGTAAATGACACATACAAAACAGTCTTTTAAATCTTTCCTGAATTTGAAGTATGAACACCTCCCTTCCCACAAATACCCACACTTAATCACACACACACAGACTCACACAGATAATAGATAAAATTAGATGTATACATACACAAGTGTATGTATATTTATGTTAGACTGGCAAGAGATGAGCAAATATTGACAGTGGATTTTAGAATTAAGGGAAGTTTTTTGTCTTCTTGATCCGTGGACCATCATACATGGACAGTAAATATATCTTGATTCAAAGAATTACCTAATTAATGTGTCTTTATAATATTTTGAATTATTTTTCAATTACTATATTTGAGCCCATACATTAAAATAAAAATCTAAGACATAGTCTCTCCATATCTATTTAGGAATGATTCTATGATCCCCAGTAGACAGACTAAAATCAAGTAAGGTACTGACAATTTGATAGCTATTTTTATAATGACGGTCAGAGATGCACAGCCAGACACACGGCTTTCATTATGTAATTCCAAAGACAGACTGAAATTTATCACCAAGTTACAGTGAGTTTGCTACAGTAAGAAAAACAAGGTAGGTCCCTGGGACCATATAACATGGTATGGAAAACAGAATGGGATGAGGAGACATCCTCCATATTAGGAGGTACATGAGTGGCTTGTGGAGGAGTAGCTAGAAAATAGCTGAAAAATTAAGTGCTTAAGATTTTAGTTTTTGATATTGAGACATTTGCTTTTAGCGCAAACTTAATAGAACAAGAATCAAGTAACAAATCCAGCCTCAGAGAGTTTTAGAGCAGGGAATCTCTTCTTTGTAGAAAAAAGAAAAATCACCAACATGATTCCTGACCAGAGCAGGGGAAAGGAGAAGACACGCTGCCAACTGCATGGGGTTTAATACCCCATGCCCCAGAGATGTTCTTGACCAATCGCCAGTTCGGAGGGAACTGCAGAATCGGGTGCCATGTGAAACAGGACCAGGAATAACACAAAGAGTGTGTGTGTGTGTGTGTGTGTGTGTGTGTGTTTGCATGTGTGCATGCATGTACGGGTGCACCTGTGTTGCCTGCAGAACCGGTGTTCATCAGCTGGCCTTGGGCAGCCTCTGACTGCACAGGTGCCCAGGAACCTCCTGCATGTTTACAGCAACGGGCATAAATGTCTCCCCCACTCCTAGATACCACTTTCTGGTCGTTTAATGTGCACACTGCTCCAGCCCAAACAAGTCATAACTACCCAAAAGAGGAGGTCTGTGGGCGAAAAGTGGGAAACCATCCGGCCTCTTCTGGCCACTATAACTGATGAGGACATCTCAAGCTTTATCCAAAGGATGAGTAAGAAAACCAGCCCTTGGCCGCCCCTGCTCCGGATTACAAAGGCAGAGAGAAGCCAGCTGAGCTCCTCAAACCCTCTCTGGCGCCTCAGAGAGCAGTCTGACCTTGGCTGCTTTGTGACAAGATTCCTTCACCTTTTGATCTGGTTAGAAATCCTGAGCTCAACTCATGCATATTTGGAAAGTCTTTTCCCCTCTGGAGAAGGTAAATTTAGAGGAAGATGACACTTTTAAACTTTGTTCCACAGGACTGAGGGACTGCTGGGGGCTCTCTGGGCTTGATTATTACCTCTTAGGCAGCAAATCTGACTGCACCTGAATCTTACCCTGTAGGAGTCCTGATGACGGCATGCCCTGACGTCGGGGGAACCTCACCGTTCAGCATTTTGAACGTGGTGCTCTTCCCAGCTCCGTTCACCCCTAGAAGCCCGAAGCACTGGAGGAGAAAAACCAAGTTAAATAAATCAAGATAAATGAAATCAAAATTATATGATAAACAGCATCTGCTTTCAGCCAACTTTGAATTGATATTGTTGGTTTGTGATATTTGCAGACTTTTAAAGTGGTATTACTATATAAAGCACGTTATGGATTACTAAGAACTTTCAAAACTATTATGGTACCTGAGTGGTATAAAAATTTCAGCCTTAATTTACAGACAAGTAAATTCATGTATAGAAAGCTCAAGAGGATTAGAAGTAGGTGCAAATTACCCGAAATTATGCACAGATAATATGACATTTTTTGGAAGTCACACTACCATAAGTCATGTTCTCCTGGTTTCATTTTTGTATATTTTAAAGTACTTCCTAAAAATATTCCAGCTTCCACTTTCCCCATACCCCATTACATGTATAAAAGCAGAATACTCACAGCTTTCTTTTATACCTTGTTTTTTCACTGAAGAGGCTGTGAATTCACTTCTAACTCAGAGTCTAGGCTGATCCTGATATTAACTAAGAAGTGAACTCTACTTCTATACTCTGACAGTATCAAATCAACCTATTTCTTGGTCCAATCCTGTCTTATACTCCAGGTGAAAAAAAAAATGGCCTTATTGCTTTGTTTTCTAGACTTAGTCTCTACCTCATACCTCAGTGTATACTTTGCCTGAGATTTCACCTTGGAGACTGAGAGACATCTGTTTTCTGGTGGTGAGGTGATGCTATCTACTGACATAAACTGGCTCCCCAGCTCCTTGAATCTTGGGAAGCGACTGCTTCTGGACTTTCTGTCACCATGTCCCACCTACCCATCACACAACCCTATTCTGCACCTCAGGATGCCACCACGTCCCTCAATTGTGACCTGCTTTAATTACCATGCTTCTCCCCATTCCCCTGGATCTCTCCCACTGTCTGAAATATGGGTCCATCTTGTTCCAGGCCTGTCTTGTCCCATGTAACTTCTGTCAGACAGCCCATGCCAGAGCTGGGTGTCCCAGGGTATAACACCATCCGCCTGTGCGAGCGATATCTATGCCTCAAGGCTTAGATACAAACCCACCCTTAAAGCTCTCCCCATACATCCTGCTCCCCCTCCCTGCCTTCCTACGACCCTCTCTGGACTTAATGCACCGACAACAGTGCCACTCGTGTGCCTTTTAATCTTGTCCTGCCGTGGTACAACCCTTATGCTATTGTGTAACACTGCTGTTACGTTACACTGTTATAAAACATAAGCAAATATTTATGATCTTTTGATTCCTACCCAATTATTAATTCCTAGAGGGATAGGGGAATATCTTAAGTCATCTCTGTATTTTCCACAGGCTCTTGCATAGCACTTTTCATCTAGGTAATTAAACTGATACGCTTATAAAAACTTAGAGAATAGAACACAAAATTAAATGGCATCTTGGATCACTTCACATATGTGGAACATCATTCTTATGAAGTTTTCCAGTTTTATCTCTTACTCTTTAGCTTAAAACTACCTCAAAGAGGTAGTGGAAAACTAATATTAATTCTTAAAGCAAATGTGAAAATACAGTTCAATAGATGGGTTTGATTACATAGCTAGTTTCAGAGCAGTAGCAATCAACAACTACAAAAAAATCTCGAACATTTTGCCCTGTTCCACCGGAAGTCATAGTCCAGGGTATAAAGCTACATCTGGACTGCTTCAGATTGGTCTCTTGGCTTCTCTTTACTTCACAATACTCATATCTGAAACGCCTACATGCAGCTCACGAGTAGGGCATGAATGCCAGTCAGACAACAATATAATCTACTTTGAATTTCTCAGGAGTTTGGAACAATATGAATGCAAGGTGCTCTTTTATTTTTAACAGTTGTTAAAGGTAATCATTTCCAGAACTGTTTTCCCTTCGTGCATTAAACACAAATCAGGAACAATTTATACGGCTTCTGTCAGTTCTGAGTAAATATTTCTACGAGAATTAGTGTCATATTCGTGCAAAAAATTTCTGAACTATTAGGATAGTGTTCTTTGCCTTTCCATAGAAGCATTTTACTAGTTGAGCTTAAGCACGCACTTAAAGAGTTTCCATTTATATAAACAAGAGATGCAAGAGGTTTCCTCAATTAATTGGATTTATTACATATTTGCACTCAATAAAAACTCATCCAACAGCCCAAACAATAACTACAACTCCCCAGTCACATGAAATTTTAAAAATTATGAAACAAAAGAAACCCTATCAATCAATTAGCAAAGTTTTCACTGAGGAAAGAGACAACAGACCCTCTCTTCAGGTTCTGCTTCTACTGACTTTGTACTGAAATTTGAAGGCTGTTTTTGCCTCTGGTTTCATATATTCTGAGAATAACACAAGCAGATCAACAACTAGAGTCACATGGGTTTCAACAGAAAGCAGTAAGAATAGAACTCTGTTACCTCTCCTCTTGCTACGCCCAAACTGATACCCTGCACAGCAGTGGTCTTCTGGAGAAAGCTTCGGTAACTTTTGCTAAGGTTGTATAACACGAGGATGTCTCCATGGGCACTTCCTCTAAACACCCTCGTTTGCTCCTGTTCAACATCTATGTCCTTAGAAGACTTGACTGTGCCTTGGAGGACAGAGTGATCTCTGGAAAGATAAAATCAGAGTTAATTCACACCTGGGAAATTGTACTGGAATAGTCTACAAGAGAGAAAGGTCAGAAATTTGTAAAAACAAGATATAGCTTCAGACCTCTGCACTATCACAGCACCCTAGTCCTACCACCTGATTACAGACTACTGGCAAGAGTCAATTTTCATTCCCTAACAGGAAGGAAATATACATGCTCCTAAAAGACATTGAAATGGATCAACACTAAATTAGAGCTAGTTTTTAATTTTATGAATAGTAAAGTCAAGTCAGATATTTGTGCTAAATGTAAAAAGAATTTATCACAAAGTAAGTATAAGCCATCAACTTGTCCAAGCACTTTTAGTAAACAGGTCATTTAATAAAGTAGATTATATATAAAAGTGCCCAAATATTATAAGTTTATAAGTATATGTTAGATCATGTGAAAGGGTCATATAGCCAGCACTTTGCACAACACCTTGCAAAAAGTATCAATAACTATTTTTCAGATGAATTTTCAACACGTTTTTACTCTAAATTTGAGCAGCTCACTTTTCCATCTTTATGATTTTCAATCTGGCACATTTAATTTTCAAGTAAATTTCAATTTCCTCTGTAAATTGTAATATTTAATGATTATATTTAATTATTTAAAATATATTTAACCATTAAAACGTATTTAGTGACTATATTTTATAATACTGACTACCGAGTTAGTATTACAACCAACATCGATTACCTGGTTTTGATAGTGTAATATTGTTATATAATATATTATCAAATTATCATTGGGAGAAGCTGGGTGAGAGGTACATAGAAACTTTCTGTACTAATTTTACAACTTCTTGTGATTCTTAAACTATTTCAAATTTAAAGGTATCAGAAATAAATAAAATATCCACTGCTAGCCTCCAGTATCCCTAGCTTCTTTTTCTGTATTATTTTCCATGTCTAAAATCACCATTTGACAAATATATAATTTATTCCACATACAACATAGATGATGAGAAAAATATAACTTGATATTCGGGAGTATATATTATATATTATACACATTATATATTAAACATAACCATTTTTATAAACAAACAAAAGCATAAAAAATGAATTAATGAAGATAAAACTAAGCATAACAGTTTCCTACAGGGTGGTTATGGACTGGAAGAGGTTTATGAGGGCCATCTGAGGTGTTGAAAGTATTGATTTTATCCATGAGAAGGGGTTATGTGGTTGTGTTTAATTTGTGAAAATTCATCTAATTTTACACTTTTCTGCTTGAATGTTATTTCCCTTTTCCAGGTGCATTTCGTGCCCCTGCAACCCTGTCCTGGCCTTCCAGAGGTTTTTCTTCACTCCAGCAGGTTATTGTGCAGCCTTCATTCACTGCCATTTTCCAGATCCATCCCCATAGTCACTCACATCAGTGATGCTCATCCTCTCTTCACTAGAATTGCAAGCTTTATAAATACCCCTCAGTCTCATTCCCAGAGCTTCCCATCTCAGGGGTCTAGGGAGGGGCCCAGGTGCATGTTTGTTTAAATCTCCTCAAGTCATTCTGGCAGGTGGGGGACAAATAATCGCCATTACTTCTGGTCAGCCCCCTCATGCTCATTCAAAGTCCTAATACACTCATCCAACTATGCTCAGAAATGTGCCACGCAGTTGTCTTCCAACTGACAATCACAAAAAATGATGTCTGTATGGAGGAAGAATCCAGATGGGCACAAGGTGTAGCAAAAATTTCCAGATATTCAACATATGTAATATCTGGACCATGTGGCTGTTCCAACCAAGCCAGTGCCTAGGGTACAGACAGCAAGCCAAGTCCAGCTTCAGACAGGACAGAGAAGAACCCCCAAAGTCCACCTTTGAACTTGGTGTTCAGCCAGAGCTCAGGTGATAACAGAGACCTGAATTCTTAACAGATAATCAAAGGACAGGAGCTAGCACAGGTTGGGGAAGGACAGCAATGAAGTGGGCTCTGCACTATGTCTAGCATCAGGTGCTAGTGACAGACACCTGCTCAGGTTAGGGAAGGCAGAATCTATCTGTTCCCAGACCCACAGAGCAGGGTCTTCCTGTTCTCTCCAAAGATCCAACTAGGACAAGTATCATTTTCCTGCATGAAGGAACTTCTAGTCAAGCAGAAATTATTAACATATAAATACTATAAAACAACAAATCTGTGCCCTGATAGAGAAGGTGGGTGGAATGGAAACACTGAGAAGACATCAGACCAGGCAGGGAGGTGGGACAGGGCAGAAGAAGGTGCAGGAATTGGAGAACTCCGTGGGGCAGAGGTGATCAGAGGCAAATGTCGTTTCTGTGCAGACAGGGGAGGGTCACAGACAGCTTCCCTAGGCATGAGAGGCCAGACTTCAGGGGGCCTTGCTGAGAACCGTGGACTTTACCTTTTAAGCAATGATGAGTGACCTGGTTAGATCTGGCTTTAAAAAGCAGATTGAGTGGGTCACACAGTCATTGTGACAGTGATCCATAAAGGAGTAGTAGGCAACTAGTGTCTAAAGTAGAGTAAACTTCTGTGCTCCGTAACTTTCAGGTTGACAAAGAACAGCAAAAATTGACTCTTTACTGTGTATAACAAAGACTTTATTCTAAAATACGGTTCAACTTATACTTATCTTCTACAAAGTAAAAGCAATATCAAAAGTCTTCTCTTTAAGGAAAAATCTTTCGATACTATAGGAGAACAGTGCACCCTGAAATCTGCCACAGAGAATTCTACATCATAGGTTTTAAATTAAAAAAAAATAGATTAAACTATTAAGGGATATCACATAACTAATTATGTTTAAAAGGGTCTCAGAATTCTACTCCAAATTCAGTCAGCTATTGGGAATATGCAGATTCCAGCATGATTGTGGACAATTCAAAAGAGCTTTGGGATTTGTATTCAAAATGGTTTTCTACTTTAGCAGCTTAAAAGGGCGTAATGTAAGAGAATATGTCGTGAAATTAATGAAAAGAAATTTTTATAAGGGATCACCATAAAATATTACCAATGTGTCTTTATAATCTCTAATAGGTTCTCTGATGACATGGTCTTAATTAGTAATTTCTCTATAAAGGAACTTTCCCTCAAGTAGAAGTCACAAGGAAATGTACAGCCCTTGGAAAGAACAGGCCAACATGGTCATGGAGGGGCAGACACACCATTGTGGAGTCTACACAAGAAAGTACATTTCTTCCTTTTGTATTTTAAATGTGTTATCTGGCAATGCTTCAAGTATCCTGGCAAAACCACCTTAAATCCTATTTAGAGTAGGGGTGTGTGTGTGTGTGTGTCTGTGTGTGTGTGTCTGTGTGTGTATGTGTGTGTGTCTGTGTGTGTGTCTGTGTGTGTGTGTGTCTGTGTGCATGTATATAGACCACATCATATATCTACACATTCGCATATATCACTTGTGCTACTGAAGCAACAGGATCTGGCAAAGGGCATGTGATTATCTGCACTGAATTTCCATATCTTCCCATTTCCAGGAGTCAATGGCATTTAGTCACAAAAATAAATTACTTTATGGTATCAACCAAATTAACCTTAGGCTCTACAAAGTAACAAGGAAATCATGCAATTTTGAAGTGGAAAATACACTGAAGCAATTAAATAATTGGAAAGATTATCTCACAGGTTGGCACCTTATTTTTTGGAATTCTTCTTCCTAGTATTGTTGACTCACACTAATCAAAAATTTAAAAATAATAAAATCTTAACTCATTAGAACGACATATAATACAGATCAGACACATTTCTTATCTTGCAACCTCCAGGATGGGTTTTTCTCTGCCTCTCTTTATTCAAAAGTCAGTGCCTCTCAAGGATGAGCCCTTCAGAATGTACCTTGACTGCCACAGAAGGTCCCAGTGCAGCAAAATCCTTAATAAGAGAAGAACTGTGCCCTGCAAGGCCAATTCCACGAAGATCCAGCCAAGGAAGTTCATCTCAAAGGGACTCACATAGGAATCAATGCCAAAGTTGTGGGTCAGGTCATATTTAATCTGATTATAGCAGAGCTCTATCAGTCCTTGACCCAGGCAGAATTGAGGGAAAATAGTGAAGACCCACTTGAGGACATCATAGATGTTCTGTAAATTCTGCACAGTAAAATAAAGAAAAAAGAAATCAAATTAAAATCTACTCCCCTTTTCATAACACCTACTGGTAACTACTTTTTCTACTTGGCTGGTGCTATGGTTCACATCCTCCCCATCCCAACTACTCAGCACTACTGTCAGACAGCCACAGAACAAAAAAGGATCATTCCTGAGATTTTAGATCTAATGGTATTTGCCTTGCTGAGTTTTACTGGCATGGGACCCATCACCCCTTTTTTCCTTCCACCTTCTCCCTTTTGGAATGTGAATGTCTATCCTATGTCTGTCCTAGCATTGTATTTTGGAAGCACATAACATGTTTGGTTTCACAGGTTCACAGGTGGAGAGGAATTTGCCTCAGGATGAAATACACCTTTGAGTCTCACCCATATCTAATTTAGATGATATTTAAATGAGACTTTGGATTTTAGACTTTATAGCTGAGGCTGGAATGAGTTAGGCCTTTGGGGGCTGTTGGGATGAAATGAACGTTATTTTGCATGTGAAAAAGACATCAATCTTTGGGGAATGGGGGCTGAATGTTATGGATTAAATATTTCTGTCCCCCCCCCACCCCAGAATTCATATGTTGAAGTCTTAACACCCAATGTGATGGTATCAGGAGGTGGGGCCTTTGGGAGGTGGGTAGATGTACATGAGGCCATGAAGGTGGAGTCCCCATGATGGGATTAGTGACCTTATAAGAAAAGGTCAAGACCAGAGCTCTCTCCCCACACCATGTGAGGACACAGTGAGAAGGTGGCCTTCTGCAAGCCAGTTACAGAGTTCTCACTAAGAACCAAATCTGAAGTCACCTTGATCATGGACTTCCCAGCCTCCAGAACTAGGAGATAAAAATTTCTGTGGTTTGAGCCACATGATCTATGGTATTTTGTTATTGCAGCCAGAGAAGACTAAGACACATGGATAACATTAATAGTCACGCATGGTAATACAGGTATTTAAATGACGTATTTTGTTACTGCAGTCAGAGCAGACTAAGATACATGGGTAACATTAATAGTCACGCATGGTAATACAGGTATTTAAATGAGTTGATAACAGGAGCTGTGACTGTGAGCATTTAAATAACATGCAGAATACCTAGTTCATTCTTAGCATATTAAACATATGTAGTTGTCATTATTAAACATAGAATTAAGAGGTATTACAAGAACAGGTATGAATAAGGGAGAAGACAGGAAGAGATCAAATAGGATAGAATTCCACAGAAAACAAGAATTATAAGATAGAATGTATTTTGAACATGATTTTTAAATTGAATATATCTAAAAATTCAACATCAACCATAAGTTTTACTATTGTCCTTACCAACAGATGAATAAATTTAATTTCATATGAGATTAAAATTGTCACACTGTTAAATCAGTTGTCTACTAAATGCTTCCTATAAATTACTGTATGTTTCCAGCTTCACTGCCCTTTATCGCATTTTATTCTCTCAATAAATGTACAAGGTGCCTGGGAGTAAATGAGGCTACCGATAGGGAAACAGTCTCAAGAGACTGATTAACGTGCATGAGTCACACTGTGGTAGGGCTAGGACTTGATTCTGACCTTTCTAGTGCAGGAATTAGAATTTTCCACCGAGGAGTGCAGCCTTTGGAAAAAATTCACCAGAACACTGGTCTGTTGAGCTGACTTTAGACTCAGCATACAGGTACCTTAAAGTATTCAATCCAGAAAGGCCACACTAACTGCAACTACCAAATAAAGCTATGGAAATATAATGGAGAATTAGACTTTATTTTAGTCTTTTCCCCATTATGTTCAAACTCAATAACTAATCTATATATAAATAATATTTTATGAGGGAGCAAAATCGTCATTATACATAAATATAATGAACAACAGTGGGTATATCATATCATAAATACTAAAAAATAAACTTAACATAATTGCCAATTATTTATTTCAGACTAGAGAACATTCCCTTTTACCTTATGATGTAAACGTATAACATGACTAGGATAAATGTATTCTTAAATAACGTGGTTGTGGAGCAACAGAAAATTCAATAACAACCTCTAGGGGCATTTATCATTATGGTTTATTGTCTTTTGCATATAGACATGGAAAAAGTACAAAAGCTTCATTTACTTCATTTTCCCTAAGATTTTTTCTTGACTGACTGCTACAGTCGTAAGTTTCAACAAGCACTGGAGGAGCTTATTAACCCCACTTTTTGTAAAACGATGTCCCTGGGTCAATTAATGTACCATGTAAAAGAATTTTCTATTACTAGCGATAGCATGGAAATAGCAGAATACTGCAGCTTGTAACTCAGGAACAGACAATAAAGGAAATGACAGGCCAAGGGTGATGACTTTATATCTTATTTTAAGGAATTCATAATGGTCTCTACACAAATATGAGCAAAGGCAATACATAAACACTGAGTTACTGAATAATCCACACATGAGAAGGGAGAGCTGCCCAAACTCATGGAATAACTGCCCATAAGTTCTTAGTTTGGGGTATGTGGAGATGGAAGAAGTGATCAGTATTCAGAGAAATAAATTAGAAACCATGAGATTTTCCCTCCACCTACATCCCCCTAACCCCAGCAGGGAGCCCCACTACTGGAGAGAGAGATGTTCCAGAGCTTGCCTTAGAACCCAGACTGCATTATTATGTAAACTGATTTGGTCACAATAACAATGATCACATGAACACTATAGTTTGCATCTACAGTGGTTAATGCTGGTCATAGTAGCTTTGAAGACTAATCTGAGAATGCCCACACCTTTCTTGGTTTCTTTCGTTAATTCTATAAGAACATATTGTTCCACAACTTACAAGGGAATATTTGAAACAATTTGAAATGAATATTTGGATAATGTTGAGTTTCTTAAGCAAACAATATCAAAATAAAAAGCAAAGGAGAAGAAAGACCTGAGCAAATGCAATAAATTGCCTTTTATTATTTGTTACCAGTTGATTCAGACCCATTTTTCTGCAAACAATCCATTGTCTGTCAATTTTTTATTTTGAGAAAGCAATGAAGCAATGCTGTTTATAATTGGAGGTGACAATTCCTTTCCACCTGCCATGCTCTTAGAGTCAGATAATTTCCTCTTTGGGTCTGGACAGTTCTTCTCCCTCTTCCTTTTGGAGCAACCCCCCCCCCCCTTCTGTGATCCTGTCCCCTAGAGCAGCCCTCTCAGAGTTTCTCACCAGTGGGATGATCCATTTTGAGTCTGTTTACCTTTTTCCTGTAGTTGGTGACTGACACCCCTGACAGTCCATGTCAGATTAGAGATCTTAAGGGGGGAGGAAAACTATACACTGCCTCTGCTGATTTCAATTTTCTCCTCGAGCTAAAGCCAATTAATTGTTCTGCAGTTTTCTATTTAACGGCTTGACATATTAATACAGATTAGTGTCAATAATAAATCTGCAAAAATCACAAAAATAGGTTGTTTCCTTCATTGAATGCATAATGGATGTTCACATACTTCACTGCTTCTATATTAACACGAGGCACAATAATAACAAAAAACATTAGCCGTCGCTGGAGAGTCTACTAAGTCTCTGCACGGCTGGCCACAGGAAGTGAGCTTGTCCCAATTAAGCAGGTGTCAGTCCCTGCCTCATATGAAATGAGGCCAGCAGCACATCCTTCAGAACAGGGAGCTCAGTGCCCATTCCAGGTTATTTCCTCAGACCATGAGTCAAAAACCTGGGAACTACTGAGGAATCTGAGTCCACGAAACAGTATGTAGTTAGGAGAGAACACTGTGGTCAGAGCTGAGAAAAGAAAGCAGGGACGAAGAGAATTGAAGTACGGGAGCAGAGGAGCTTGCGAAGGCTGAAGTCCACACTCGCAGGGAGCACAGGGGACATTGAAGGGCTAAAAGATGGGTTAAAGCAGAGGCCAAGGTCCAGGCAAGCTTCACCAGGAGGAGACAGGTTGGAAAGGGCATGGCAGGGGACAAATGGGATGTGTCAGCAGAAAGGGATTCAGCTTCACCTGGACACCTCTACTGGGAGGGAAACTTCTCACAGGGAGAAATGCTCCCTGTCCACGGGGCCATGCTCAGGACAGTCTTTTGCTGTCACACTTGGAAAGTAGTAAAACCATGTTAGCTCCAGGGATCACAGGGAAGAGAGCATGATCCCCCTAAACATGCTGTAGCCTGAGAGTGTGGTCAGCCACTGTGGCCCATCCTACCTCATAGTGTCAGACCTGACTGTGGCGACACTATGACAGGGCCCATGTCATTGCATTGACTCTTCCACCATTAATGAGTAATTCTTCAACACACAGCCCCTGATGAAGACGCTGGGGAAGCGGCCGTGAGCATCTCTGTGGCTCTGCCCTCACTCCTGGAGCCGCAGAAACTGCCCATCATTTGTCAATTGTTACCAAGTCTGGACATGGCTCTTATAATAGCACAGATGTTTTTGTTAAGTAGAAACATTTTCTCTTTCTGGAGCTTAAAGACAGTGGAGACTAGTGCATCTCCACTGAATTCCAGTTGGATAAGCAACAACACTGTCATGAGCCAACATTCTCCTGCCACCAGAGCCTTTGCAGAAGCGATGCTGCCATTCACTGACCTGAGCTTTGGAGACGATGGCCAGTAACCGGGGCATGACAGTCATGAGCATGGTGCACAGGCCAAAGATGAAGTTCAATGAGATGTAAGAGATGAAAGCCACATCCGAGCTGGAGAAGATTCTGGACATCAGATACATCCATGGAAGCATTGCGTAGCTGAAAAGCAAAGCAAAAACTCTTGTTTATCTTACTGTAGCATTACAGTAGGCCCCAGTTATCCACAGGGGATACTTTCTAAGACCCCAGTAGATGGCTGAAACTGCATAGTACCAAACCTATATATACTGTATTTTCCTACACGTACATACCTAAGATAAAGCTTAATTCAGACATCAGGCACAGTAAGAGATTAACAACAGTAAGTAATAATAAAATAGAACAATCATAACAATATGATGGCATCGCTACTCTTGCACTTTGGGGCCCCTATGAATTAATCTAAGGGTCACATGAACACAAATGCTGCAATACTGTGACAGTTGATCTGATAACCAAGAGGGCTGCTAAGTGACTAGCCGATGGGAAGCGTAGACAGCGTGGATGCACTGGACCAAGACACGAGTCTCGTCCCAGGCTGGGATGGAGTAAACAGAGAGAGACTTGATCAAGCTACTCAGAATGGTGTGCAATTTAAAACTTATAAATATTTCTGGAATTTCCCATTTAATATTTTTGGACCATGGCTACCACAGGTAACTGAAACCTCTGAAAGCAATACTGCGGATGCGGGGTGGGGAGTACTGTATTTGCATAATGACTGAAGTAAAGATACAATTTTATCGACCTGGTGACTTTTTCTCATCTAGTGAACAGACACATACTTCATGTAACACAAATACATTCACAGTATTCTAAAAACAGAACTCTTCCTGGGCTTTTAGAGGACGGAGGATGTAATGGAAAGGGCACTGGGTGGGGTCAAACACAGGGGTGCCAGTGGGCCTGTCCCTGCCAAATCCATGAACTCCTGACTTTTTCTTCTCACAAAAGGATGCTCCTTTGTTCTGCCTCTCATCAATACAGCAGGAATAATACCTATTTGTTACAGTGAGCATTGAAAGATACCAAGATATGAAAAGCTGGAAGGCGCGAGAGCAGGGCTGTGCGTGCGCGAGCGGCGGGGCTTTCTCCCGAGCCGTTGGAGGGAGCCGGAGCGCTTGTCCCGAGTATGCAACACACGGAGCAGCTTCACCAAGTGCATCTTCCTGTCTTCCGATTCCTAGCCTAAGAACTCGCCTCAAAAACCTGTAGCCTGGGTAGAGGTCACGCTTCTCAGAAGCTACAGTGGCTGTTCTGCCTACCTCTCTACCTCCTCGTAGCCGCTTTCCAGGACAGACTCTTGCAAATTCTCAAGAAAAGGCAACTAATCTAAGGGTTCCAGATTAAAGAGCCTCATGAAGACTTATTTCAAGTTTCTAATATAAAAGTGGAAGTTTTCAGAAAAGCCCTGGTTTGAGGTTTTAGGGCCGACACAAAAGAAGACTCCTGAGAGCACCCAAGCCCTGCTGCGGGAACAAGCTGGTGACTTTTTCTCATCTAGTGAACAGACACATACTTCATGTACTACAAGTACATTCACAGTATTCTAAAAACAGAGAACTCTTCGTGGGCTTTTAGAGGACCAAGGACGTAATGGAAAGGGCAGTGGGTGGGGTCAAACACAGGGGTGCCAGTGGGCCTGTCCCTGCCAAATCCATGAACTCCTGACTTTTTCCTCCTGCAAAAGGATGCTCCTTTGTTCTACCTCTCATCAGTAAAGCAGGAATGATACCTAGTTGCTACAGTGAGCATTGAAAGATACCAAGATATGAAAAGCTGCAGAGCTCTACATAAAAATAAGACATAAAAACTAAAAGCTTATTTTCCAGAGCCTACAGCACGGCGGGCACTGTGCCGTAACTTCCCTAGTGTCCCCTAATCCTCCTCACATGCTCCAGCAACCCAGAAGACGTGAACTATGATCCTGACTTTACAGATAGAGCAACAGGGATTAACAGAGCTAGACACCTTGAGGGAGGTCCAGAGCTGATAAGCAGATGAAGCTGAACACAGATCCATTCCTGTGTGGCCCCACAGCTGGGTAATAAGGGGCGTTACTAATATTGAACACTAGAAACAGTCCTGACAGGTATGTGATGACATCAATACCTAAGAAACCACCCAAAGGTCCCTAAAGTGAAAACATATTGCCACCTTCTTTCTTCCTCCACAATCCCAGAACCAGGTTTCATTCCCAGCCAAATTCCCCCATCCTCTTTGCCACAATACCAGTGCACCCCATGGAACAGAGCTGGCACTTTGAATGATGGTTCCAAACAGCAGCAGAGAAGTCACAGATTTTAAATCAAACCTTCCCATAAAACCCTCATGTATCTGGAGTCCCTACGTGATCTCCATGCACTCAAAGTAAACACGTCACTTTTCTTATAAGGAATAATTGTTTTACCCTGAAATTCTTCAGGGTCTTCTAAATGCCTGAGGTTTTATTAATATATGTTAACCAGTTCTGAAAATTATGAGACTTCAAAATAACTTCAGAGATGCTAGGTTCTCAAGATACGAGGGTATTTCAAAAAGTTCACGGAAAACAGAATTAAAAAATAGTACAAGTATCTCCATGAACTTTTTCAAGTATCCTCATAACTATTATTTTGATATACTTACCTTTCCATCTGAAATACATGATATTGGAATTTTTCCCTGGGTTAAAAGATATATCTGCATATTTCAGAATATATGTGTAATATTATATATAAAATCATATAGTGTTTCAGAAACTTCACTCAGTAGCAATATGCCTCATAATTCAGGCATGAAGAAAATCATTTCAGAACACACACGGAAGCAAGAGTTTTCAAGCAAATTGTTCTGAAATGGTTGCCACAGAAAATAAATTAAATTAAATTAAATCAAAATAATTACCAAAGACATAAGTCATGACTTCTCAGCATCTTAAATGGTCAATACCTCTGTCTGAAATAAAGTCCTAGAGAGAAGAATCAAAGCCCCACACACACCTACACCACACCCCACTCTCTCTTTCTCTCTGTCCCTCCTGGGGCAAAATTCAAGCATTCCCCTCCATCATGTGGCTACTTTGAGAAGCAAATTAAATCACAGTATTGAAAGTATTTTTGCATCTGAAATATAAACAATAGTAGAATTCTGTCAGCAACATTTTCCAGCAGCTGTAATTGCTGTGGAATTCATTCTGTGAGCAAAAATCTTTTCTAACTTAAAAATACTGATTTAAACTCTATATCCCAGAACAACATGTGACAAATTGCTTTTCTTCTCCATGTGACAGCCCTTTAAATTCTGAAGATAACCACGTTGGCATGCTTAAGCCTCCACTACAGAACACCAGATCTTTCTTTGTTCCTTATTCAACATGGGATTCGACCGGCTCTCTCTGGGTAGCAGCACCTCACAGATGACACGATGAGGCCGGCCTGGCATGAAGCACAGCAAGATTATCACCTCCTTCCATCAGCATCTCCACATCCCAAAACACAACCTAAGAATGCAATAGCCTCGCTACCCTACACTCAAGCCTGGTGCCCCAATCTGTGCTTGCGAGTCTAACTACCACCTAGACACCACTCCTGCTCCACTACAGATTGCTCAGAATTAC